TGGGATGGGAGGGTTGATGGAGCTGGTTGTGGGGAGCGAATGGGGGAGGGTGGGGGAGGGAAGGAACTTGGAAAAAAGGGCATAGTGCCATCCCTGACTCCTCAGCTTTCCTCGCAACGCGAGCGGTTACTGATAACCCTCTCATTGAGCCCTGTATCAGTCGGACACCTCCTAGACCAGACATTTTGTGGGATTGGTTGGGATTCGGATTAGGACCTTGATTTGGGATGGGGCGCAGCTGGAAAGGACCGGACGCTCTGCTGGAGATCCAAGCCTCAACTTCTTGAGAATGCTCGAGCCGGGTGGGGGGATACTCCGGCGACGCTCGTTTTTGGAATTTATCGCTAGAATGAAAGCTGAGTATCCAGAGGCATCTTCGACATATTGAGAATGCTCGAGCCGGGTGGGGGGATACTCCAGATGGCCCACGAACCGTGTGGGGGGATACCCGGAGCTGGCCGGCGAAATAGCCGAGTGGGGGGACACTCGGGCGGAATTGTGAGCCGATAGCGCATCCTTACCATATATAAGAGGTTAGAGTTGGGGGAACTCTAAAGTTGGATGGGTTTTTCGCTTCCTTCAGGCGGAAAGTGGAAAAGCATTCCTTTTGATTCCACGGGCCTTACCCCAGAAGCAGCCGAGGCCATGGAGAAACATCTCCATGCAAGAATGCCCACGTTTCAATTTTTGCACTGGTGTTCGCAGAATCCAGAAGACTGAGCGTCCTTCTCTGGGATCTGTTTCTTGGGAGACCTTCAAGCAGTTTGCCAAACAACCTGCAGCGCAAGAGGTGCTGCAGCAGCCTGCAGATCTTGTCGAAGGGCCTGAGCTAGAAGCTGAGCCTGCAGCAGCTGTAGCAAATGTGGAGCCTTTGCTAGATGATCTTGACCAGGCAAGTGTTCAGAGCGAGCTTTTTGATCCGGATGATGAGGATGCTGACTTGGAAGTGGTCGGCGTCCGACAGCTCAACTAAAACAGTTTTCGCAGTTTTCCAGAGCCAGTTCTCAAAATGCGAGGTCCTTTTGAGTTTTGAGTTTCCACAAGAATGCATTTCTAGTAGGAAGCGTGAGGAAACTTCGCAAGGAATTCCATTTTGGGTCTCAATTGCGCCCTGGAGCTTGTCAGCAGAAAAGGAGAGCGTAGTGCTGCTTTTGGAGTTTGGGGAGTCTAGTCAGGTAGGTAGCCAGGTAAGTAGCTAGCCAGGAGGTGGACCAGAACAGTAGCCAGAGAAGCCAGAAAGGAACCTGGTTGGTAATACGTAACAAGGTAAGCTGTCAGGTGGGGTAGCTAGGTAGTGAGTTTATTAGGAAAGGCCGCGGCGCCTGGAGCGGCGCAGGACTGCCATTTGCTGCTGTGGAAGTTATGATTTTTTCTTTCAAGCAAGTAATGAATATATTGGCTTTCGTTCTGAATTTTGAATTAAATGCAGCTTCAATAGGCATGTACATTGAAGAGAAACGCCTTATTTAAAGGCGTAGCGTCTGGAGCGGCCCCCGCTTTATTGTTGCGCAGCCTGATATTGAGGTCGCGGCGCCTGGAGCGGCGCGGCTGACGCCGCGCCCGGCAAGGTTTTTCAGCTTCAGGGGTTGGGATGTGTTTGCGTTCTAAACTGCATGTAGGCTTGGAGATGTGTAGTAGTTGGGGTGTATGTACGGCTTTGGAGCCGAGGTGGTGATATTGGGGGTGCATCAGCACCATAAAACTAGGATTCCGAAAGCAAAACAAAAACAATATCCAAAACAGAACCGTAAAAACCAAACGAACAAGACATATTTCCAAGTGTCAAGTGAATCTCTAGCCGCTCTTGCAAGAGGACCTTCACATCTTTCTCTGCTGAAGCTTGACTCTACGACACCACTCTCACATTCAGAAAAGATCATGAGCCTGATTTTCAAGCTGCAAACATTGGTTGCGCAGTCTGAGCGCAACGGCATGCCAGTCTTGCCTTGTTCTTGTCTGTGTCCTGCAAGTACGCCTCTCCACAAAGTGATTCACAGACCTCCACACCTTACAAATGGAAAACCACAAAGTTTGTGCTGGTCTTCCACGTCAGCTGGTGCAAGGTCTAAATGAGTGCTCAGTATCCTTAACGGGTGGCGTTTCTACACCAGTAAGTTGGCAAGGGTCATGGCAAAGCACTTACTACGCAAAAGCATGTGCGAAAACGTAAATAGTGGTGAAAGTAACGAACAAACATTCAGGCAAGAACGAGTCAATCGTCTTGTGAAGCTCTGTTGTTTTCTCCTGCTCATCTAGATGTATGTGTTTACTGCAACTTCGTATTTCAATACATACGAGTATTATGGTTGGGAGCATGCTTCCAGAACAAACCGCCATCCTGGATCTGAGCTCCAGAGGTTGCCACGTACATTGCTGACTATGTGATCGCGCTACTGGAACGGACAGCACGTTCTAAGCCAAAGCTCCCATCTTGAAAACCAAACCATTCAGAATGTTCTGCAACAGCTGCAAATCAGCAAGCCAATCACAGCACGCTACCTTCTCCGCAGCCAGTTTCTTGCCTACATCTTCTATGGCAACCTGAGAGCACAGTCCAACGAACCATGTCCCTGCCTATCAGACAACAAACACAAGCACATGAACCTCCACTGAAACTGAAAATTCGCTTCCAAGTCCAAATCAACAACGGCAACTTGACTGCATCACTATGCTTAGGCCTTGGAAGAACGCTGTTTGGTTGCTAACCTGCTACATATTCACGTACAGCGTTACTGAGTTTGCAATGAATCCCCGATGCCTTTGGTACAACCAAATCTGCAAACCAAGACCCTGCGCAGATCGCTCGTGGTGATTTTTGCCGTGGGCGGAGCATGTGTGAGACAAAGACAAAGTCTGATAGAAGGGTTTTGCAAGCGTATTACCGTTGATTAAAAACGATGAATATGTTATAAGTAGCAGAACTTTGCAAGCCAAGTCATGTAACAGAAGGCCTCTTTCTGCGCACTCTGTTTCAAAAGGATTTTCGACGAAAAACTGTCCCCGCAAAAACTAAACCTGGAAGTTTCTTCTGCAGGTCTCATGTGAGGCATGGGGCGCCGCAAGTCCTAAGAAATATCTGCTCTGGTAAGGACGCAGGTTGTTGTTGTGTGTGGGTCCATTCGGCTGCGCAAGTTTGAAGTAGGTGCTGCTGCCGCTCTAAAGCGCAACTACTACAGTCATTTCTTGTATGAGAACACCGCCGGCGCAGCCAAGTCAAGTTATCGCTGATACTCATAGATCCTTAATTTGATCGCCAGCGTGAGTGCCGCCGTGCTGCTTTATGACCTGAAGCTTCCAGAATAACCAGAAACCCTAAACCCTAAATCCTTCAGTGAGGAACCGCTCCCTACAGGCCCTACTACGTGGTCCTTAGATGTACGGCTTCGGTGGATATGAGGATGCCTAGACAGGGTCCCTGATTTTGCAAACTTCCACATGCGTTTCTTGATGATGAGGAGTATTAGTTAGTAGGTGACTTTTTGATTACCCGTCACGAAAATCACTAAAATCGGTTTACAGTTACGTAAGTAATCATGATCACTATGAGTGCGTGTGTGTGAGATGGCCAGGCACTCTTTCTCTGTGCCATGGCCAAGCCAAGCCAAGTTAGGTCTTGGAGGGATGGCTTTGTAACTTCAACGCGTTTACGGGGGCATATCGGTTGTAGCATCAAGAACTATCAAGTCGGCTAAACCGAGGCTGACCTTTACATGATCGACTTCGGGCTTGTTGAAGTGACAGTGTGTGCTTTTGCTTGGCTTTTCCTACCTGATTTGTGGTTTCCTCTCGCTATTGCCTCAGACTTCTCCAAACTTCCCTCCAATTTTTGGCAGAGTGTGAGCAGCTTAGTTTCCTCAGCGCAAAAAGTCTTGGCAACGCACAGAAAAGCGGAGAAAATGAAAAACTGCAAAGCACGGCAAAAGCTGCATGCAGTGTGCATCCTTCACGGTGAGGCCAAACAACTCACAGAGCGCTACGGGCAGGTGCTGAAGTCCAGGTAAAGCGAAGCTTGACAACGGGTGAATTTCATTTTGCAGGTTGAAGTGGAGCGGGCGAAGCTGCTGGAGGCACCTATGGCCTGATCATTGGTTTTGCTGGTGGGCTGCCGGCTTCTTTCAGGCCTTGGATGTGATGCGACGTGAGAAGGCAACCTGCAACATTTTGCTTTTTGCAGAACAACTTCCAGATGCAGTTTGTTAATGCAATTCATGTTTCTGACAGAGGCAGACAGCGACCAACGAGCTGACATGCTGCAGGTGTTATGCTGTGATGCGTGTGACGAAGCTGTCCAGTAGTTGCAACTGCTATACGTGCTAATTGACCAGGCTCGCTTGTTGCAGGTCGGCGATAACAAGGAGCTGCAGCAACCTAAGCTTTTGCAAGCAGATGCTCTTCAGAGATTTGTGTCGCAGCGCGCCAGCACAACCACACATGCCCACACGCCGCGACGCAAGTGAGGTGTGACGCTTCGGATGGCGAAGGTGGCAGTACGTTAGCGGCTCAGCTGTGCCGGTATGGATTGCAGTGACCAGCCTCGTGCATGTTTCGAGGCAGTTTGATGTTCACGAAGAATCTCCTGAAGTTCTGGTGAGCAGGCGACATGCGTGATCGCCATGATTGATGATTGAGCTATTGCGCAGGCCTGCCACTGAGGGCCCGGAAGAAATCGAGTACCCTGAGACAGCACAGAGCTCAGCCTTTAGCCCTCCGCGCAAGTGAGCTTGCTGCTGTTGTCTCAAAACCCAAAATACCGTAAAGTACAGTATATGTTTCAAAGAGGATCTTTTCACGAAGGGCTCGTGAATGTTTTGGGGTAGGTATATCTGCATGTGCTCTGCATGGCAACTTGGTTCTCAACTGGCATGCTTGTCAGATAATAAACGGTGTCAGCAAGAAGCATTTGGCCAGGAATATGCCATGCAGCTGCGATGCTATGCTCGAGCCCAGTTCTAGCTAACCTTCAGTCATGTTCGGCCGACATGTTGACATGTTTGCAATATGTTCCGACAAGGCCTTGATGAGGCCGAAGATCGGTGCTTTTGGGTTTGGGCCTCAGCTTGCCTCAGAGCTGAGCATGCCCATACTGGCGTGGCTGACAAATTTGATCTGTTGCAGGATACGCAGTTTGAAGATGCAACTACAATTCAGACATTGCTGAGGCCTTCTTTTGCTAATGCTATGCAGGTTTACCATACATACCACATATCAGATACCCTACTTTGCGGATAGTATGACAGTTGTCATGCTACACTGCATAGAGTATACGAACGTTGTGGTTTGCCTTACATAACTACGTTAAGTTATACTACGCAAAAATGCAGAGTGTTTCACCCTACACAGCCTGAGCCGTCCTACAACCTTGTAGGCGAAATCATGCAACTTTATACTCTGGTGTCGGTGTTAGCGCATCCATTCGCAGCAGGGTGGTTGTGTGCGAGGCTGAGGCGGCATCGGACCATCCGAGATGGTGGATTCTGAGCCGCTGGACCTGAACTTCCGGCCTCTTGGAGCAGAAAGCAGAAAAGTCTCAAGACCGCATGGAAGATCCACACCTGCGCAAGGATGATTCTGTTGGCACTCCATTGCTTCATTGCCCGCTGTCTCAACTGACACCACCACAGCGCACATAGGCGATAAATTTTCAATCGAGTACGTATGGAGCCTTTGCTGGTCAGAGACATGCTCAGAATTTGCGCTTATCGTTGTTGCTCTGGAGCGCGCATGTATTTGTATGAGGGACTTGGAGCTTAGCCGGAAAGAACCATACTGCTTGAGTCAACGTCCTTACATGCCCCAGCAAGGTTCGTAGCAGTACAGCTTCATAGTAATGTTTTTTTTTTGTATTCCCTGGAACATTTTGTTGCAAACTTGCCGTTGCCAATGCTCCACAATACTAGTCTAAACCCTGCCCCAGACCTTAGCCCAAACTCCCTCTAAAGCCATGGGCCGGGCCATGCTCGCGGTCTTCCCGTGGAGTCTCTGCAAAGCGTATCCTTGGATCGGATTAGGTTTGGCTGGCAACTTGAATCAGGACGGTTGCGCCACACCATGTCACACCTGCACATTGAAAATGCCAGTCAACCAATCCCGTAAACTAGCATGAGACGCAAATGGCTTGCGTTGTGAGTGTCAGGAACGAGAAGCTTGGTAGGTCTTATTACGCGGTTGATGTGGCCCCCCAATTTGGGGCAACGCCGGCCTAATGGGGTTTTTGGTTTTGGAGGGTCCTCTAAACGGGGTCCCATATTGACCAAGCATCGCTGACACGGCTTGTCAAGCTCAGTGGCAGTACGTGTGCTTGGGGAACATTCAGTTTTAGTTCCACACCGGGCATGAATGTAAAGTTTCGACACCGCAACCCAAACCTTTAGCCTTCAGAGCATATCCACGATCCCTGATGCATCCCTGAACATACATACATCGATAGAATCTTCATGCCTCAAACTTGGTTCTGCGCTGAGAGGCTAAGTTTCTTGTACCTGAAATGGAAGTTTTGCCGAACTTCTTTAATTTCCAAACGTACAATCTCCAAATTCAAACAAACTTAAACCCTAAAATCTAGATCTTGAGCACATTGGTTACTACCGAAGGATCCAGAAGGTGTAGCGAACGCTGTGGAGCAGTGGCTTCGCCTTGGCGGACGTGCAGTTGACACAGCCCTGATGTGCCCAGGAAGTGTTTGGGTGTTCCGATGCAGGAGAAAATGTTTCCGGTGGGTATACACTAGGACCTTGACTTGAGAAATGCTTTTTGGTGTTATTTTGGGATATTGGTTTGTCGTGTTCTTTTGCAGCAGTTATGTGCGTTGGCGCACAAGCGATGTCCAAGTCAACATGGATGACATGCCAGCCTTCAGGTGGGGAGCTTCAAGACGAAAGCCCATGAAGCAAAGGATTTAGGGCTTTGGGGTTGGGTTGCATGCCAATGTGAACAGCGCTTGGGCCAGCACTTTCCACGGCAATCCTAACAATAATTGCGCATATTTGGTTGAAGTTTTAGATAAACTTCGAGCCTTCTACTGCAACAACTAGTGAAAGGTTTGCTATCCCTCAATTGCCGAAGAAGCCCAACAGGCCTTAAGGTGTTCATGTTTCAGGTCCGAGTTTACGCTTACCAGACTTTGCATTGCGGTTCTTCTTGAATAACGTCCTCTTGGTTGTCGAAGCATTCCTCCCGCAATATTGATGGACATGTTCGCGACACCCATTTACCAAGGTACGGCCATGACGAGGGCCTGCGAGATGGACTCCGACGCAGCCGGGTGCCTCTGGGGATTCCGGGCGTTTTCAAATTTTTTGGGGGGTTTAGACTTTCGCATGTTCAGGGTGTTGGAAGAACGTCAGGCTGCTTCGGCTTCGGATTCGGAGTTCGAACCTCAAGGTTTAGGTTTGAAAACTTTACAGGGTGATCAAACTCGTAAAAACCCATGGCGCGCGCTTCGTATAATTGGATGCCGAGATGGGGAACCCCCTGAGTCCTTCACTGCTTGTCAACACAAGAAGTTTCCCCCAACAGTGTTTTTCATAATCTCCCTACAGGGGTCTAATCTCACTCAGATTCAGTGGCTCTTTCATCCTAGGCCCTAAACCTGTCATTCCTTTATACTCAAAGCCTTGGACCAGCATGGCTTTTGATCCTTAACCTCAAGCTCAAAACCTGAAGTTCTAACAGTGCCAGCCTGAACATGACAACCTAAGCCCAGGTGCCCAGTTCCGAAGTTTTCATCACCACGAAGATCCCCCCGGAACGCATGGGTTTTGAGGATGGGAACCCTAGACCCTAAACCCTAATTTTTTCAATGTATTCCTGTGAAAACAGGATTCACACCTGAAAGGGATCCATACTTTTGAGACACCATTTTGACTCCTTTTGGATGGCGGGTCCCCTCAACAAAGTTTATGCGGTTTTCGTTTGGGCTGTCAATGCAAGCGAACTGGATTTCATAGGGCAGATATCTAATGACAAGCGTGTGGGAAACCAGGACCCAACAAGAGATATGCGGTAATTGTAGCGTTTGTTTATTGGATGTTTGGGTTTCCAAAAGCCTTTTCCAGCAGACATCAACAGACGACGGGCAACGGGAATTCCTGAAGCTCAAGAATTGTTTGACAATTCTCACCATAAGACGTCTTCCTGAATAGACTATATAGGTCACGAATCAGTGACTTGGATTCTTTTTCTATGTAGGAATATGCGGCTCCTGAAAGCATTTGGGGAAAATAGGAACGACTGTAGTGGATCCCATAGGATTCTACAGGTTTATAGCTCCCGTGGGCGCCCGTAGGGCTCCCTATCATCTGGTGGTCTTGCTTGAAAGCCAACCCTAAACCCTAAACCCTAAACCCTAAGCCGCCAAAGCATGCCTTTTTGAAGAAAACGTCTGATGGGAGCTGCAGCAACTTTTGCCCTGCCGCATTTCTGTGCGCGCCCCCACCCTAATCTGGCTTGCTGTTAAGGAACTTAATTCAAGTTACTAGATTGGAACTTAATTTAACTTACTATATTGGGGAAGCCCTGTTATTCATTATATATGGGCCACCCATGTATATCCAATATGATAACTTAATTCAAGTTCCTTAACAACAGCTCAGTAACCTTTCCGCTCAAGATGCCACTTTTTCCGCAAGGGCGTGTTGCGTTGGGGCCATTAGTTCCCATCAACATTAGCACTGTTGTAACCCCGTTTGTCTTATGCTACATCCGCACCTTCCTCAAACTAAATAGTGCCAAGACATCATGCTATGCCACAATGGTATATCAAGCGCAGGGGATTACCAGCATCCTTGTAGCAGAGGTTCCGCTTTCAGGTTTGCGTGTGCTGGAGCTCGGGTTGAAGTCGCAAGCTGAAAGCCCCAGACGTTGAACATATTCAAGCCCTAAACCTTCGAACCCCAAAATCCCAATTCCTATAATCTTACCTAAAATCTTTAAAGCTTAAACCTGTAAGTCCGTACAGGCCTAAGCCTCATTCAAATTATCATTGTACACAAATCGCCGATCCCTGAAATCGAAAGTGCTGAACCTTACATCTAAAACCTACAAGCCTGCAATCCTAGAACCTCACCTTGAAATCCCCAAACTCTGAACGTAATAATCCCTATTCCCTCAGCCCTCAGCCCCAAACCCTACTCCCTAAACGCTAAGCCCTAAATCCAAAAACTTATAAACCCTAAACCCGAAGCCCTAAATCCTAAACCTTTCTGCAAGTGTGGAGGAGACGTTGCGCGCGGCAGCGGAGGCTACGGAGCGGCTGGGAAGGCCGGTGGATTGCTTGAGCCCTGACGACTTGAGGAAAGGCGATTTGGGCTTTAATATTGGGAATATTTGGGAATATGGAAAAGGAAATGGAAACTACTATTTAGGGTTTAGGGTTTAGGGTTTTCGGGCTTTAGGGTTTTAGGCTTTAGGGTTCAGGGATTTGGGTTTATGGCTAAGGGGTCGCGGATGAGGATTAAGGGATTGAGGATGAGGATTTGGGGATTAGGCTTGAGAGCTTAAACCCTTTATAGTTTAGGGTTCCATGGACTAGGATGTAGGGTTGAAGGTTTAGGGACTAGGGTTCATGGGAGTTCAGTTATTTCATTTTGGTGTAGAGTTTTTGGAGGTTTCGGGATCCTGGATGTTTGGGAGTTCCCTAGTTTCAGGCACCTGGGACCACTGGGCTGTTGGCGTAAACAGCTTGCTGGTGCCGGGCATAGATAGCAGTTTAGGAGCAAAGCATGAGGATTTTAAGTTTTCGGATCAGGGCCAGTGGTTGAAGGGTTTTGTTTTTCAAAGTTTCAGACGAATCTTCAAACAACCATCTCTTTTGACGGTGTTGTGAACGTTTTACATGGATTATGAGGGGGTTCCTCAGGATCTGAGGCATCAATTGGAGGCATCCCCCAAACAGGGTACTTGTCTTTGTAAGTGCGCAGGCTTTTCGTTTAGGATCCTGGTTGTTTGGATGTAGGGATTGTCCTAAATTACTGTCAATACGGGGTCCTATATTTAGGTTCCTATTATAATACGGGGCCCTATATAATTTTCCCCCATTTTGGGAACAGTAATTTAGGGAAACTTCCAATGTAGGGATGAACTGTCGGATTCGACTGGGCTGGGTCGCTTCAAGGGTGTACATAATGTCAGAAAGGATGGCAGGAGTATTGCTGGGATTAT